CTTTTCGGCTTCGTCGCCAAGCGTGCTCACAGGACCAATTCTTCCTTTAGTTACATTATTATTTTCAATCCTCCTTTCTAAGGTTCTAACAGGAATATTGTACATTCTCGACGCCTCGCCAACTCTCGTTCCATTACTAACGGCTGCAACTGCCAACTTTAAGTCAGCCTCTAACCAATTTCCACGGGTGGCAGATTTTCTTTTGTAAAAGGAAGGCATATCTGCAAAAAAAATATGCAAAAATAATATTGGCATCTCTACCGAATATGTTTAGGCATCTCTACCGTTTATAAGGTAGAGATGCCACATTTTCCAAGAAGATTGTTTTTTAGTTGCCGCTAGACAAACGTACTTCAATATAACCTCAAATAGTGTACTTTTAATAAACATAATCGATTCGCAAATAATCCCAATAAATTATGGCATACTTATAGTCTGACCATTATGTCGATAAAATTTTCGATGCACTCAAAACTTTAAAATTGATATAACTTACCGTTAATTAGTGATGTTCACTTTTTTCGCTATACACGTCTAGCGTACCGCTCTAGTCAACAACAGAACACAGACTAATTTATTCTAACAGCGCTCAATCGGGTTCTAAGAAAACGGCATCTCTACCCCTATGGCATCTCTACCGGACTTACCCAATTTTATTAAATAGCATTTTTCATCCTCAGATTTTATGTAGAGTTTGAAAACATCGCCAAATTCTAGATAAAAAAGTTGTTTTGTTTTTTACAACATTCGGTATTCGGTAACTGCACGCTGCGAAAGCAGGAATAAATATTGTTTCACAAATGTATCAAGTGTTTTATTTAATGTGAAAAATCAAGATTACAGTCAATAACAAGTTCGTTTATAGCCATAATTTTGGTCCTTCGAGCCGGATAATGTTTTTTGTAGGACCGATAAACCTACACCGAGATTGATTTGACCCGATGTTAATATTCCAAAAAATATTCTAGCATTTAACAATATATCGACTTCATGTGCACTATTAAAACTTTCGTCCGCCAATTTAACGTTAGGAGGTATCTTTAACTGTGACATACCAAATCACCCGGCTCGAAGGACCACAAAATTTATGGATGTAAACAAACTTGTTGTGGACTGTAATCTTGATTTTTCACTTTAAATAAAACACTTGATACGTTTGTGAAACAGTATTTATTCCTGCATTCGCAGCGTGCAGTTACCGAATACCAAATGTTGTAAAAAACATAACAACTTTTTTATCTGGTAGTTAGCGATATTGCCAAACTCTACATAATATCTAGTTTTACACTAAAAAATACATTTTATATAAAAACGGCAGCTGCAAACCTAACCAATGTGCTCCTGTTGATTTCTGTAGACATAAAGTTTGACATTTCCGAATTTTAAACTTTTTTTTTAAACTACAAAATGGAATACGATCTTCTTAATTTAGCTAATTTACAGAATAGTTCAAATTAAACCAAATAAATCAATATTTTATAGATTCTTGAGATGATATCTCAGAATTCGACTCTTATGTTTTTTTATTCATAAAAATAGTTCAGCAGTACTCTGAAATTTGTCCAATGCCTTGCTGCCTGATTCAATTAATGTTTTCATTTATGTAATATTTGCTGAAATTAATTTAAAAAATTTGTTAGTTTTTTTTATAAATATAATTGGGTTATTTTAAAAAATCCTTAGAAAATTTTTTAATTCAATTTTTGTAAATTTAATTTTGCTATTTGCTTACTTAGATGTTTTTCATGTTGTAACCCAACATACAATAATACTGTGATACTGATTCAAGCATAACTTTAGAAAAATCTCTATAAGCCCGGCATAAATTAATAAAAATTTGGAAAAATTTGAAGAAGAACATTTGCTTCAATTTTATTTATATGAATCATTGTGTCTAAATACCATACAACTATTTAAATTAAGATAATTACAAGTTTTCCTTAGAATCAAAATCTAGTTACTATTGTCTATTTCCGATAAAGCAAATATTTATATTATTGATTGTATGCTGTAAACAAAACCTTGACCGTCAAAGGTAAACTGATTACTTATTTAATATGCGTAATAAGATTATTTCTTTAATTTTTTAGAAAACCAACTAAGAAAGATAAACATGCAATGTTAATAAATATCTTATTTCTAGATACATAGTTTTTAAGAAAATAATTAACAAAAATTATTGATCAAATTGTATTACTTATAACTAATTATTGTGTTAAATTTGTTAACTTTTCATTTAATTATTTTTCTCCATAGAATTGCATATCAGTTTTCGATGAAAAATAAATTAATAATACATATTTTTTTTGTTCAAAAACTATCAGTTCTTTGGAAAAAAAATGCATGAGAAAAAGTTAACAAATAAAAATGGAATTCTGAAAAATATTTTTAATATACTTATAATATATAACTCAACAAAAAAGTTTAATTACATGGACTACATATATGTTTCGGAAACACTGTTCCATCTTTTAGTGCCAGTCAATATTTAATAAAATATGGGGCCGATTACAAACATTTTAAATTATTTTTAAAATAACAGAAACAACTGAACTTTTTATTTATATAAAATTTTCTTGAAACGATTGTGTTGAAAAAATTTTAAAACGACTCCTTATAATTTTTAATAAAAAATCTTCTGAATTTTTTCAAATGAATTTAGAAACACCATATATACGATAGAAATTGTATACAGTATCAATTATCACACGTGATCTGGTAAAACAAGAAATTTAATGAAAATTATATTTATATTGACAATATTATTCTGCTCACAGCGATGTATCAATTTCAACTAACTAACTGCAACAACAAAACAGCCTATTTATATAAAAATTTAGCGAACCCAATTGTTATCGTATTCACCAGAACTCTCTACGAAATTTCTAAAGATTCTTAATATTTATTACACTGACCAATAATAGTGCATTCACCATTTTACACCATAACCGAATCTCAAGGTACTTCGTCATAATTCTAGTATATTTCAAGGTGAATGATTTAGTCCGACTGTTTGCCACCATAGGCGTCCCTATAGAGGGCCGAAACCGTCTCTGGCAGGGGCGGTTTTTCCATTGGTTCATTTGTGCAGTGAACACCCAGTTACATTTCATAAAAACATATTATTTTAAAATAATAACATAAAAATATTAATTCAATTTTAATAATTTTATTGTTTTTATACGTGTTAATATCTATTTTTGGGTACGCCACTGCGCTCTGGTGCGCTTTTATAAGTGTGCCCGCGGAAGTGAGAAGCGTTCTTGAAAATCTTTAGCTAAAAAGAGATGTCACACAATAATAGATCACTGAATTGTAGTGAAACAATGATAAAATATCTTAAATCAGCCTAATTTGCGCAACGCACTCGTGACGTCACAAAGTAGGCGGGGCCATACCAGTCTTTCAAATCATAAATATAAAGAAGCGATGACGGTACTAAACGTCTCACTTTTGTATTGCTCTTTTACGACACATGTCAAACTCGAGCGTGATTTAAATGATATAAAAACATTTTCATTCCGTCAATCTACAAATATAAAATTATTAGGTAACTTAAAATTAATCAAAATATGACGCAAAGTGCCTCCACTTGTCATCACAAAATAGTCTTTATTTCGTTATCTACCTACTTCATATTTTAATTTAATTTAATAATAATATTTAAATAAGTTTTTTATTTATAAACTCATTCAACAAAACTAAAAATCTGATGTGTCCAACACATGACTTTCCTATCTAGTTAACCTATTGCAGCATCTCTAAAAATGTTTAGAGGATAAACTAAATATATAAATTTTCCACATACATCTACCTCGAAACATTTTTCTATAGATAATCATTGAAAACGAAAATATTGAAAAATTTAAATTTAGCACTTTTCCTCCAATTTTTCCATTACGGTCCATTTTAGAAAAGTCATTTAAAAACAAAAATTATAGAGATCGATATCGCAAACAACTTTTAGTTGCGCTTCCTTTATGGAATTAGTCAAGGTGTGCCTGATGATGAAGTGACAACTTCGAAACCGGTCGCCAATAAATTGACTTGTGAGAAATAAAGGACCTTTTCTTTAACCTTTACACTTAATAAATATTGATTGGTCACGTCTTTTAACGGAGTTGATGCCATCCATAGTTACAGTAGCTGCAGTTGAAGACAGTTCGGGTACTGCTGCAGGTAGAAAATATTCTCCATCAGCCTGTTCTGTAACCGTTTTTGAGTCTCCAGTTTTATGTAATAACTCCTTCCTGCTATGTTCCCATCTTTTTTTGCATCAAATTTATGACCAAAAATCAACCTCTTATCCATATAAAAAAATGTCATTTATGCTCATTTTCGTGAATGGTAGTGCTAACTTTTTATCAAAATGAGCATTAACAGGTTTATTTTAAAAAGGGAATGAACGAAAAAACTTTTTCCTCAACTAATTTACGACAAAAAATCGACAATTTATCCATATAAAAAAATGTCATTTATGCTCATTTTCGTGAATGGTATTACTAAGTTTTCATCAAAATTAGCATTAACGGGTTTATTTTAAAAAGGGGATGAACGAAAAAATTGTTTTTCCACAAAAAATTTACGACAAAACAGCGAAAAAGTATCGATATAAAGCATTTCTTTTATGCTCCGTATTTTCGTGATTGGAGAGGCGCGAAAAATTTTCTTTTTCTACAACAAATTCTCCAATATTTAAAATTCCAAAGTGGACAAGTCTAACACTCGCAAATCGCGAGTTTCATCGTCGTTCGTGCCAGATCCGCAGTCTACAGCCATCTCGATCGTCAACTATCAACTACGTTTTCGACTACGTTTACGGCAGCAGAAGAGAATGTAGGTAGGTAGCATCGTAGTAGGCGCGCGCCTACGTTGCGGCCCGTTGGAGGGGCGCGAAGCGGCACACACTCACACACACCGAGCACAGAGTAGGGATGGAGATGCTCCTGATCAAAACATAGTTCCGTTCCTCTCATCTGTAGAGCGTGTCGTAGTTTGCCATGGTGGCGCGTAGTGAGAGCATGTTTGGGTGTTACGACAGTTACTCCTATAGACTGTGGAGTTTAGCCAATGTATGGAACACCTGTCAACGTGAGTAAATGTTCCATTTCAAGCAATAACTACACCGGCGCTTTTTTAATTTTTGTTCTGTGTTTGAATCAGTGATTTAGTTGTTTGTTGATGTTCAATGCTTTTGTGAAGATTTGTTTGTAAACAATTGACGAGAGGTACCATGACGTCAGTAGCTTTAGGGGTTACCCCTCGCAGCACAGGTATTTTTAGTTTGGAGTGTGCCTAAATTTATATTGTTCCTATATTTAACTTTTCTAAAAAAATTAGGTATTAGATATTAGATTAATTTTAGTACAATTTAAAAATGTAATATTATCTTAATTTGACATCTTTGGAATTTAAATAATACAAAAATTAGAATAATTTAATAATGATTGTGTTTAATATTATTTAATTTTCATTATTTAAATTTGTTTAGAAGTAATTATATACTGTTGTAATTTGATTATACCTAATATCACTATCAAATTACATAATATTTTATTGATTTAATTAAATTTAACTAACCTAATTATTATTATATTAATATAAACAAAATAACTACCGGCATATAGTTCCACATACCTGCTACCATTTTATAACTTCACTATCTACCTGTTCCACTTGACATAATTACCTATCTGATCGCTCCATTCTGATTGGTCGTCCCCGCCAGACAGGTGGTTTTGTACCTGTATACACGTGATCTTACCTGCACCTGTACTTGCCTGATTGGGCAGGTGGGAGGTGCTTAGATATTTATTTACTTGTTCATTGGCAAGTGGTGATTTGTGGTTATATAACTTCAGAACCTGTTTAGCGTTGTGTAGCGGTTTTAATGTCGTACCTGTTGTGATTGATGAGAACAGGTTTTTGAATGGAATAAAGGGGGTTGGGTTAGATAAAATGTAATTTTGTAGGAAAGACTTGTACGAAGGTTGATACTATTGGGTTAGATGTTTCAAGATAGCGTATCTATATTTTAATTATTTATTAAATTAAATAAAATTTGTTTAATGTTGTACCTGTTGTGATTGATGAAAACAGGTTTTTGGTTAAAACAAGGGGGTTGGGCTAGATAACATGAAATTTTGTAGAAGAAGGAGGAGGAGGTATCTACTTATTAAAAATTGATACTATTGGTGTAGATAATCGAGATAACTTTTTATTTGTTTATTATTAATTTTGCATTAAACTAAATACAATTATTGTTGTAATTGGAAATAATTAGTTATGAAACTATGAAGTTATAGGTAGTTGAAGGATGTTTAATTATTTTTTTTAGCAAAAATTTGTAAGAATAGTGGACAAATTAAAATTGATAACATTAAGTATTCCTTAATTACCTATTTTTCTTTGAATAATTAAATGTTTTATTTAAAAGAATATTTTTTGAGTAAATATCTAATTTGACATATATGAACTAAAAACCATAAAAAGCTATAAAATCTCAAAAAACCTTAAATAACCTAAAAATCTGTTTACTATTATTTTAACAGATTTACGGGAAAGGGGATGAATAAGGAGGCTGAATATACTATCATTATTATTATTGCTTTTAGTATACAGTGAGGGGCAGAATTTTTAAAAATATCCTGCAATACTTGCAAGATTTTTGTTTTTAATTACCTACATTTTGTTAAGACTTTGCCTTTGCGTGATAACGTAATCGTTAAATTTTTTTAAATATGCATAGCTATCACGTGACACCTCATTTGAAAGGTATTTTAATCCTTTACTTAGGTTTTTGTTTTATTTTTAATAATTTGTTTCATTATATTCTACTGTATTTTCCTGCTATATTTTTGCTAAAAATAATTTAAAAATTGCTGTGTTATCCCTATTAAAATATATGGTCGTACCGAACTGAGGATATAAAAAATATAACCCCGTTATGTATACATTTACTACCATTAAAATTAATTGTCAACAAATGAAATTTCTGTTTGATTTTATAGGGTTTTAAAATTTTAAACAAAAATATGTAAGCATAGTAAAAAATTATACCTATTAATTATTTTTCGTATAGATAGGTACCTAAAATACATACATTATGAACACTCCATTTATTTTAAAGGAATATTGGTATTAATTTACCCTTTTAACTATTGGATTTTTGTCCACAAATGTGCATTGTGAGAGTTTTACATGTTTTTTTTTTGTAAAAAATTGATATTTGTATTAAGTTAAGCAAATGATAAATTTTTAAAAATATACTAAAAATTGTAGTTTTTTTCTTCTTTTTATAATTTTCGATTGGACAATTTATTTGCTACAATTGTCAATTAGTACATTTCGCTACAAAAAATTAAGTACTTATATTTCTACAAGTCTATTACTATAACAGTAAAAGAACAAAATAGATTTAATGGTATATAAATAAAATTTAATCAAAAAAATATTTATATATTTTGCAATACCTATCTTATCCGTAACAGTTGAGGATATAATCATTGTGTGTCCTTAATTTTTGCAAATAAAATTGATAATTCCTGTTTAGATAACCTACATTTTACTGGCGAAAATATCTGACGAATATTAAATAAATTAGTGATAAAACAAAATCTAATATTAATTAATTCCATATTATAAAATTTATAAATTTAGACTTGATTTTTTTCAAAACAGGAAATACCTATTTACTAAAAATTATTATAGTTGTTTACGAATTCTAACGTTTGACTTGCAAAATGATCTAAGTGGGCCAAAGAAGACCACAACGGAAGTTGTATGGGAAGATATTAATCAATTGTTTTATACCTAACCACACCAAGTTATAAAAGACCGCTTTCCCTGTATTCCTACTTCCACATTTTTTCCTATTGCGTTCTATATACTTTTTTTAAAAAACTCAATTATTTAAAATAATAAAAACTTCTTTAAATACAAATTTATAATAATTATTGAATTAACTATCATAACAATAAGAATTTCATAATTATTGAAACATACTTTTCAAAAGTATGGGAACATCAAAAGAAATTATAATTATTTAAAATGATAAAAATGTTTTTTTTTTCAATTTCAAAAGCAAAGTAAACAATATGAAGTTCGGCGTATTTTTCAAAAGTATGGGAATTTTAAAAGTTTAAATCTGCAGTTCTCTAATTTTCAACGAAAGGTTATTTTTGACCGACATTACCATATCTTTTACTGAAGTAATTTTCTACATAGTTTTTTTTTTATAAAATTATTTAAAATACTAAAAATGTGTTAAATGTTTTTTAATTTTAATTATAACTTTCAAAAACAAGTAGGTAAAGCAAATTTCGAAATATCTTATTGAATTAACTATCAGAACAATAATAATTAATAATAATACTCTTCCTAGTTCTCCCCTTATGATGAATTTCAACCCCTGAATCCGACTGAGCTTGTATTATTTGCCGTGGTGTTCTGGGACGATCTAAAGATGATTGATAAGTGCCATTTAACTTACAGGTGAGGAAAACTCGGAAAACCTCATCCACCATCATTAATTAAAACATATTTTTCAAAAGTATGGGAATATTAAAACAGGTGAATCCCACAGTTCTGTAATTTTCAAGAAGAAAGGTTATTTTTAATACACATGTTTTTACATTTCCACGTTACATATATCTTTTCTAAAATAAATTAGACTTATCTGTATCTCGACGACCAAAGGACCTCGTAACTAACATTTCCACTAAAAATCAAATTTTATGATAATCTCGTATAAAATATTTCTCTCCATCTGCTGTATAGGGGAAGTATTACAATTTTTTAACAAAACATGGGTTAAATTACAGAAAACATTAGAATAAAATGTATTCTTCTATGCATTTGTGAATCGTTTTTTTTTATCTCCTAAAAAATGTACATTTTGCTACTAACGAGGTCCTGCCATGTGGCCCTCGATCTGTAACTAGGCCCATTGTGCATACTCCTAAGCTGATATTCACATCCAATCTTGCTGAACATAATTTTATTAATAGATGAGAGCGTTGTGCAATCGTAGAGATTATACTCGGTTGTCTCATCTTCTTGATTGCATCCCCTGCAGAGTGCGGCTTCTGACATTTGTAAGCACTATACTACCTAAAAGGTAAATATATTATTTAAATGAGATATTTGTTATTTCCTCTTAGCAGAAACTACGTATTAATAAATAGTTTTCCTGCTAAACCAATGTTATAAATAGGTATTTGCATTTTACCTTTTTTGATAAGATATCGTTAAATTTTTAAACACGTGTGGCCTTTTTGATAAAAACGTATTATCAGCCTAAATTAAGATTTTGTTAAAAGATATTTTACGTGTATATTTGCATAATTGTTATATAAGAAAAATACTATATATAAATAATACATTTTGACATATTCACCGGACAACTGGTCTAAAAGGTTACTAACCTTTTTTATCACAATTAAGACGTGATTTAGGGCTTAAAATAGAATGGTTCTTATTCGGAAAACGAATTTAGGAACGTTATAACACGAACTTTTTAATTCTCTTCGTTTTTTTGGGTTTTAAAACAAACGGTTTTTTTTTTCTTTTTTTAAGTTAGAACTAAAAAAAAACAAGTACCACTATTGTATAATTGACGATTTCACATGTTCAACTTTAGTATGTCCAATCTAAACTTATTCTAAAAACTTATTATGAACTTAAACTTGTTCTAAAATTATTCTAAACATAAAGTTATTCTAAACTTATTAAGTAATTGTTACCTACATAATATTTCTATATGTGTACCTGTAAAGTACCCCAATAAATGTTTACAGATCAGTATTTGTAATTTTAAAATTATTTCAAACGCCCAGTATGTACATATTTAAATCTTTTAATCTACAAATACGCTTTTCATATTCGGCGATATTCTGTCCTAAAAATAATTGTTAATTCTTTAGCTTTACTTTAACGGATTGTAGAAAAAATATAATATTCAATTCAATTGGATTGTTGTGTTCAAACTTCGTCTTCCTGCGATATGGACATCATATTATCGATACCTGATTGTAACACAATTAATTTTTATTATACCTATTTCTAATTTTTAAAAGCATTTTTATAACTTT